ACTCCGGGTAATACCTCCCAGGGGTAAGGGAATGAGGAAACAGTGTTGTGTAGCCCATACATTGGCTTTGTGGGGGCTGGCACATAAGCAAGTCTTTCATTACATGAGGATGATTAATCAGCCAGAATTGGAGCGACTGGGGATGATATTGGAGATGGTCTCATTTTGAGAAGGGGAGTTTTTCAAAGTTCCCCCTTAGTAATTGGGAATTTTACAGCCTTGTTTCCCTCATCCCCACGTCCTCAGGTCTGCCACAGCCCGGAGAAGAGTCCAATACTAATGGGGAGAAACTGGAAGCTATGGAGTGAGTCTGATGTGTCCACTTGCTCCCCGTTCAGAGCTCTGCTGTATCATGTGTGTTCCCCGCTTCTCCTCAGAAATCAGCGGAAAGTCCTTTCTACGTGCTCCATGGAGTTAGGGCCCCTGGCTCTGGGGTAATGAGGGAATGGAACTAAGTGGGCAGATGGTCCCAGCAACATGCTCCGTTTGGGACCCAGGGAATTTCCCATCAACACAAACTCCCACTCCACAGCATCCCCTTCCCAGAGAGGAACAGTAAGGGGTAGGCATGGTGGGGTTGCCAATGGTAGCACAGCCATTCAGAGAGCCATGCTGCCGAGGAGCATGGGGGAGCTTCCTTTCTCCACAGTTCTCTGGGGTTTGGAGGCTGGGACCCTGCCCCCCTCACCCACAAATTCCTCTCTCCTACGGGGAGTGTTTCTTAGAAACCCCATGAGATGAACTGTGCCTTGGCCTGGTGTCCCCTTCCTGTGACCTCACTGCAGGCGAGTCTACAGTGGCGCTTCGCCATCAGGAGTGGACAGTAACTACTGCAAAGTAGCTAGTCAGACCCATGTTGTTAAAAGGTAACAGCTTTGTTCCTCACTCACCTGGGCAGGTGTCCTGAACCTCACAAACCACAGCTGCTAGACAGAGTAAGGCGAGGAGGGTTTGCTGGACAGCTCTCCCCATGGCTGGTGCTGGTCTCTGCAACGGCAGCTCCACTCGTCTTCTCACTGCCCTCTCCTCTGCTTTAGCATTTCAGAGCTGAGAGACTTTTCCAGGCAATACAAATTATAATATTAAGCTCCACCCCTGACCTCTCAGTCTCCTTAGCCAGTCTCTATAGTCCAGTTTTTTCCCCTGCTGGGATCATTGTACAGGAAGTGTTGCCACCTGGATACAGGAAAATCCGCAAAAGGGTTGTACCCCTTTTTTTTTTTTTTTTTTTAATATAAAACCTCCTGTGGCCTTCTGGTTCCATTCTTCTGGTTCCCCTTCGGAGAGCCAGGGGATTTACGCTGAACGTAGAGCTGTCAGTGGGGAGGGTTATTAGGAGCGTAATTCCAAAATACTGAGGAACTAACCCACAACTACGGAACTAAATACACCTCAGACAAGTCACTTTCATGCAGCGGGTCCTGTATAAGTGGTTACCACATTCAAATCTCTTGCCCTTTATAAAGCAGCAGCAATGTCCATCCATGCTCTGGGCATTTGCATAATTTCAGTCACACACATACACATTTGTATTCTGCTCTGTTCAGGTTCTTATATCAGGCCTGTCACTTTGGTGTGTGAGCACCTTCCAGAAAGGCATGAAGCCTCGTGATGTTTGGATTCTTCCTAATGGACTATCCCACCTGCTTTAGGATCCAAGCCAAATAACACTGAAATTAGTGGAAACCCTTCCATTGATTTCAATAGGGTTTGGATCAGCCCCTGAATAAATACCCATCAACAGAGCAACAACCCCCTTCCTGTGGCAGGTATCTTAAAAAAAAAACCCTCACTCCAAAATGTTTGGACTATTAGCACCCCCTAGGATGTAAGAGATCCCCTAGTACGCCTTTACCTAGCACCTGAGCAGAGCACAGACAGAATAGGGAGGTGGGTTAGCACTCTGAGCCACCCCTCAACTTCGACGAGAGTCATGCTTCATATGGACACCAATAAAGGTGCCCGCTGTGATGTATCCCTTTTGGTTCTTTCATTTCTCCCCCTGGTTCCCTATAGATAGGAGCAGGGCCGACTTTAGGCCAATTCCACCAATTCCCCCGAATCGGGCCCCGCGCCTAAGAGGGCCCCGCGCCCAGTGGCAGGGCCGCCGGGGGGGAGGGGAGAAAGAAGTGGCCAAGAATCCCTTCCCTGGCTAGAGGCTCCTTTTTAATTTTTATTCACCTGGTGGCACTCTGGGTCTTCGGCGGCACTTCTGAAGCGGGTCCTTCACTCGCTCCGGGTCTTCGGCAGCAGGTCCTTCAGTGCTGCCGAAGACCCAGAGCGAGTGAAGGACCCACCGCCGAAGACTAGGAACACCGCCCGGTGAGTACAAG